ATTTTGTAATATTCACTACTTATGGAAGAAAATGGAGGAGACTTAAATTGTGTCACAAGGTAAAGAAGTAGTGGATCGAAGTCGAAGCTTCTTCTTTTAGCAAGAGCTAAATGCTAAAAAAATGAAATATTTCAAACCATTTTATCTTTCTTTTATCTCAAGAATCTCAAATTGCATTTCGAGTGATGAAATCGTTTAATTTGATCTTTTTGGGTTTTCATTAGGAACTGAGTTGTTTTTGGTGGCCTTAGATTGTTATCGAATTTAATAAGTTTTATAGTTATCTCAAGAATCTCTTATTTCAATGTTTTATAGTTGCCGATACAAAATATATTAATAAGTTTCTAAATTACGCTTATATATTTTGTTGGTCGTCACATTTGTTATTTAATTAATATGCAAGAGTAACGGTTTTTATTTTCTATATGAGAAAAAAAAAACAGAGAATTGATTAATTTATCAGGATCAGTGTTACAATATATATTATGTATAGGCAAATAACTTGTCAATATATCATAATGGCGCAGCGGAAACGTGGTGGTACAATGCTTCTATTTTTTTTCATTTTACTGAAAAATGTATGATTGGCCGGGCCTAATAACACCTAGGTAAATACTCACACATACGCGCGGATTTTTTTCGCAAATAATTTATATACGCAAGTTTTGTTGAAAAAATAATTTAATTTAATATATTTTTATTTGCATTATTATAGTTATAAACTTTAAAGAATCATATGTATATAGGCTTATAACCCATATATATAATATTAAAAAAAATTGTGTTAAAATATGTACATTTATTTTTAGTTTTAAGTACTATTTTTGGGTATATTTTCTCGGTTTTTAGCTGAAAAAAAAAATAATTCTTGTGACATTTGGGCATAGTGTGACATTTTGTATGAACGGATGAACACAAACTGTAGGGTTCCGTTGGTATTTCTTCACTCCTTTTGCATATTCAATATCAGTAACTCAATATGTACATAAAGATATTGAACACTAAAACATATTAGAAAATTAAAGAAGAGTAGAAGCCATCATATGGGATCTTAGTCATTTGAAATTGCCATGTATTGGTCCACGTTACATACTCTTGGAATAAATAAATAAAAACAATTCCAAATTTTGTCTTAGTGACTCACGACACCGAACTATGGGTGACATTGCAATATTGAGGTTTCCATTGGTAACACTATCATAGAGGTCATTGATCTTTACTGCAGCTCATTCTTCCCGACTTTAATCTTATTAATTCCACACTAACAGCTCCTCGACATCGTTTGAGTCATCTTCTTACCACCAAAAAAAACTCTATATTCTCTCCTTGCTCCCTTTACCTCTCGCCTCTTCGTTAAACTCCCCCCGTTACCATAACTCTAAACCTCAACAGTTTGGCTCATAGAAACGTTATTTCATTTGGACAATGGCATCATATTACAATGATAAA